CTGGTAAGACAGTTTTGGATGTATTTCTAGAAGACGCTAGTATTTGAAGTGGTACAATGAGTCCAGACGCATCCCATCATGTAGGTGTGGGCAACCTTAATCCACCAAGACTCCGAATACATCAAGAACTCATAGAGGTGGCAAACTTACTAACTGGACTTAGTATATGTTCTTATTTTTTTCCCTTGCTCTTTTCTTGAGCTGGGGATTCTTGAGTTTCATAAGGCAGTGGAACCTCATGTCTTGTATTAGACCAGGACTCGCCCTACTGTTAGGCCTTTAGACTCAGGCTTAGTTATATCACTAGGTTTCTGTTTCACTACCTTAGAGATGACAGGTCATGGGGCTACTGGCCTCCATGACATGAACATTTTCCTTTCCTCTCTTTTTCTGATAGATGATAGATTAGCTAGATGATAGACAGATAGATACTAGGTAGATAGATAATGTATAGATGACAGATAAATGTATAGACAGATGGATGATAGACAGACAAACAGATGATATATAAATAAATGATAGGTAAATACTAAGACAGATGGATGACATATAGACAGACAGTATATAGATGATAGATAAGTACTAAGATGGATGATAGACAGACAGACAGATGTAGAGAGACAGATGGATCCTAGTCTGCATATTTAGAGGCGTGAGCTTATGTAACTAAACCTTCTTAGTTTATAATAAAGGCTGGAAAGCCTCACCTTTCAAAAGTCATCCAATTTGACTATGTTAGTTTAGATACTGTTTTCACTCACCCTATCGGTTTGGGTCTTAGCGGTTAGTATATCCCTCTCTTCTTCCAGAGACATACGGCGGGGGGGGGGGGGGGGAGGAAGTAAGCTGTACCTTTAAGGAGTGCACACCACTTCCCCTCCCCTTGTGCTGCATCTGCCAGGGGAAGGCTCCTTGTGCAGCCCCAGGCTGTGGAGACAGGTGGAAGAGAATGTAGCTTTACCAGCTATTTGGATCTGAACTCAGCCAATCCCAGCATAGGCCAGTGGATTCCTACAGAGTCCTGACAAGCCCCAGCCAACAGGCAGACCCATGCACAGGAAATAAATGGTGCTGTTTATAAGACGTTGAGGTTTGGAGTTAAGAGTTGTTATGTCATAACATCTCAGCAAAACTTGAGGAGCTTAAAACATTAAAAAAGAATCATATTTGCTTAAATTAAACATCCGAGGAAGGATGCAGCTCATACGCTACCAGCCCGGGATTTCTGAGAAGGACGGCATTCAGATCTCTGGGAAGAAAAACTATGCCAGATGTTGGATGAATATTCAAAACAAAAGGCTGTGATTTTGTGGATCAGCAGATCAATAATTCCAGTCCTCTTGTCCGTGGAGATGCATAAAGTAGCCAGGCCTATCATCAGAGATGGAGTGCACTGCAGTCTTGTCCTCCTCACTTGGGGTGTTCCAGGCCCAGACTTTTTTTTTTAAATACATGTAGATCTAATCCGTAGAGGAGTTTGATTTCCATCATCCATGTTTGTGGCAGTCAAATTTTTCTAGGATTTCCTGAGAACACTTGGAGTTTTCGTATTTAGCACTTCGTCCCTGAAAAAAGAAAATACTTCGACTGGATTTCATTTTTCACACTTCACCCTCCTTAACTGGAAAAGACCAATCTTAATTATTGAAAGACATATCTCATGCTTCCCTCGTCTCAGGAAATGTAGTAATTCATTTTACAGAGCAAATATCATCTGGGGAATTAAAGGAGATTTATTTCTCTGTGGAACCCAGGAGGGGACGAGCATTGGTGATCTACAGCATGGATGAGTGTGTGTGGGTAATTTCTCATTGCCAATCTGTCAGCTTGTAGGGGCCCCAGCTGAGGGGGGTCGGTGGATGAGAGGGAGCCACGGCCCATCTTCAGGAACCACAGGCAAAGCCCAAGCAAAGCCTTGAGGACTTAGTTTCAGATCGAAGCAGAAACACTGTTGAATCTGGATTCAGCTGGAACCCTTCAATAGAGCCACTTCATGGTTATAAATGAATGCTTTCCCAAGGATGTACCAACCAGGCCTGACACTGCTCAGTGGTCTCTTTGGCTTCAAGCACATCCACTGCTTCCTGCGTTTGGCTGTTGTGAACTGTGTTAGCCTGAGTATTTCTGATCTTGCATCCTAAAGAGAGTAAGTACACATTTCTGTATGGTGTGTGCCTAGGGGCAGAAGTGCCTGCTGGTAATGCAGACATATGGTAAACGGGGTATATAGGAAAGCTTTCCAAACAGGTCCCTACCTTGTGCTGCCTCCTGCGAGCAAAATCAATCAATCAACCAATCAACCAATCAACCAATCAATCAATCAAATGTCATGATAGCAGAGAGCGGCATGACCAGCATGGCTACACGCCACCCTAACCTCTCTGCCCTTCATTTGATGTAGCCTGGTCTACGAATGATCTTTGTCTCAGAGCAGTAGGCTGTGTCTAGGGGCAGCAGTCTGGGGGGCAGCTGCCTAGACCTCTCTGTGAGGTATGCTCACAGGTCCTTAGATGCGTTAGTGGGTTGATGCTGCTACTCCAACCATTGTTAACTGTTGACTGTGATGTGTGTCTCAAGGGAGAAATGCAGGAGATGGGAGGCTGTAATGTAGTCATCAGCTAGACCATGGCACCGAGGGTTGATCACGTGATTAAGTAGTAGTCAAAATGATACCAGAAGGGCAGATAGGCAGGGCAGGGGTGAGAAAAGGAAAGAGTTATATGGGCTATGCCACACACACACACACACACATACACACACACACGGACAGAGAGAGACAGAGACAGAGAGAGACAGAGAAGGAGGGAGAGAGAGACAGTGAAAGAGGGAGGAAGGGAAGGGAGGAAGAGAGAGGGAAAGAGAGAGATGAGAGAGAGAGGCAGAGAGAAGGAGGGAGGGAAGGGAGGAAGAAAGGAAGAAGGAAGGAGAGGGAGGGAAAGTGAAGAAGGGAGAGAGAGAGAGAGATAGACACAGACACAGACACACACACACACACACACACACAGAGAGAGAGAGAGAGAGAGAGAGAGAGAGAGAGAGAGAGAGAGAGAGAGAGAGAGAGAACACATATGGATAAGAATAAGAGCGTGAGTCTGTTATTACTTTTCCAAGGAGTCCCATGGTTGGAGAAAAGCGCGCCGCAGCATATTTCTTGCACCCCCTTCACGCCTCCGTCTGAAGCCGAGAGATACTCCATGAACAGAAAAGAACTTCTGAAGAGGTTAAATGTGGCGGGACTAAGTGTGAAGTGAAATCAATAAGTATTAAGGCTAAGAGCCTGGGATTGAATACCAAACAGACCTGGTTTGAATCAGAGTTCTCTGCCTACTGGCATTGTGATCTGGGACAAGAAACCCGCTAAGCTTTTTCAGCCTTCTCTCTCCTCATCTGCAAGGCAAGGAGAAACGGTGCGTATTTCAGATGGCTACAGCAAGGACGAACTCGGACAGTTCGTGTGGATTTATTCTCATTACTCACTGGCTGCAGCTCAGACCAAATTGAAGCCAAAAGCCAAGCAGGTTCTGAACATGGTGGCTTTCCAGGCAGAGTGACAGGGAGTTGATATAGTTGTCGATAATATTAAATCTATAAAACTTTATTCATGGACTCTGCTTCCCAATGAAGAATAAACTCTCCTCCGCAACTCCTTCCCTTTCCTCTCAGGTGGACTCATCATTTAGGGGTGCTGAAATAAAGGACAGTCTGGCTTGACAACAGAGATGTATAGTTCTTCAGCTTTGGAGTCCAGAAGTCCACTCAAGGTACCAGTAGGGCCAGCTGGGTCTGGGTCTCTGGGTCAGTAGTTCTGGCTCCTTCATGGCTTCCGGCTTCTGCCCTCAACTACCTCAGCCACCGTTGCTTTCCTCATGCCTGTCTTCCTCTGTATGGGTGCCTACCATATCGGGTGAGATCTACCCTAAGAACCTCTTTTTATTTAAACCTTTTATTGGGTCTTTGTGAATTTCACTCCATGCAGCCCAACCCCACTCATCACCCCCCTCCCCTCGTACCTGCCCTCCACCCTTGCAACCTCCCTTCAACAGAGGAAAAAAATCCTATTGTACAAGCTGTAGTGTGTCACGGTGTGTCCCACAGTATACACTTCTGTCTACACTTCTTTGCTTGCAGGCGTTCATTGCAACGATTCCTTGTTCTGGTACGAGGGCCCTGGCTTCTGCTATACTATCAATACAGGAGCCTCACAGGACTCCTCTCAGATAGCCTGCTGTTGCCCTGTGTCATGGAGATCTGTGTTTTGGGTCTGTAGGACCAGTCCCTACACGCACTCCAGTAGTTCCTAAGTAGGGTAGATGTTGGGTTGGGCCAATTCAAAGTCCTGGATCTTGGACCTGAGAGGTATCTGAGCTGGCGTTCCTGCTTTTACCAACAAACCCCACAAGAGCCACTCTGCTGCTGGAGACTGTGTAGCATCCCTGACCAGGGAAGAGCGCTTGACTTTGGTGGTAACAGATCCCTGCTGCTGCAGGGCCACAGACTCAAATGTGGCCCCTGGTGGCAGCACACGTCAGGACCCCACCATGGTCCCAGGTGGCATTACTGGCACTCACATGGGACTATTCCTCACTAACCTGGAGTCTCCAGTTCTGCCCCTCTTCATTGTACACTCATCCTTCTGTTTCTCTCTCTCTCTCTCTCTTCTATTTCTCCACCGCTTACTTGTTCCTCCTAGTGGTGCCTGGGTCTCTAAGTGTCTGGGGTCATCTCAGGAATGGTCTCAAGAGTGCTGTCCTCCACTCATCCATTATGACAGCAGGCAGATGTCATCTTGTCATCAGGCCTGCATGGTACCAGCCTGGTGGTCATCTCAGTCTAGTTCCCTGTCTGGGCCCCCTAGCATTGGTCTGGGGTTGTCTCAGGAGTGCTATGCCCAGCTCATGCATTATTGAGTTGAGCAAGGGTCATTTGGGAATGGGCTGTTGCCCCAGGCCTGCTTCATAACAGACTGAGGGTCATCTCTGGCTCATTTTTCCCCCCTGGGGAATATTAGGCTACTAGCATTCAGACATTCACAGGTCAGAATACTGAACACAGACATGGACTCTCTCCTCTCTGCCATCTACTGACGCACATGCGACATAGCAGCCACACCTTCAATGGCTCTTGGGGCAGGACTAAGGATTTCATTTTAATTTGACTAAATTTTCAAAAGTCTTAACAGATAACACATTCGTAAGTCCTGGGAGTGAGAACTTAGCCTTTGGGGTACACAGTTCTAGATGAGTGAACACAGGAAAGACCCTGTTTATCAGTTAATTGGAGGATTTGCTCAACAGATATTGAGATCATAGGATTAATATACCCTGATGTTTACAGTTTAGACTATCTGCAATTTATAGCATCAGTTATCAAAATAGGATACGATAGAAGGATTTTCTAAACTTCTGAGTCTTCTCTTTCTGTCCTTCTTTCTTCTTCCCTCCCTCCCTCCCTCCCTCCCTCCCTCCCTCCCTTCCTCCCTCCCTCCCTCCTTCTTCCTTCTTTCTTTTTCTTCTTCATCTGTCTATCTCTGTTCCTCTCTGTGCCTATGCCTGTGTTCATGTAAGTGTGAGCACACGTATTCTATGGACAGAAGACAATCTCATGTGCTGGTCCTTGCCTTCTGTCTTGTCTGAGACAATGTCACTTGCTGTGTCACACACACACCAGGCTAGCTAGCATTTCAGCTACAGGGATTTGTCTGGCCCTACCTCCCATCTCTCAGTAGAAGCTCAGGAATTACAGGTGTGAATGACTGTGTCTGGTTTTATGTGGGTGTTGGGATCTTAATTCAGATCCTTACACTTGTGTGGCAAATGCTTGACTCACGGAGCTGCTTCTGCTTCCACTAAGTGTCTTCTTAGGGATTATCTCTGGTTTCATAAAATCTTTCTCATATCTTGTGATAAGGAGAAGGGACTGGAAGAAATCGCCACGTTTTACAAAGTAATCACTTCCAGAACTCCGCAGGAAGCAGAATGTTATAAAGTTATTTAGTAGCTCAACTGGACACTCTTCAACACAGCTCCTTTTAGTGGGTAGTGTTGGAAGGTTCATGGCATTTTGGATGATCTAAACCTAAACTCAAGTCTTAACACCCAATAGACCTGCTACTCACCCCACATCCTTCACTAGGGTTCCTGGAGTTCATACCAGAGCTTATAGTGATGAAGTCCTTTGTAACCTCAGAAAAAAAACTTCAAATTAATTTAGGATTAAAAAAAAAAACCTCCTTCCTGGGCCAAGACAGAGATTGTAATGCTTAAATCATGTGTTGAAAAGTGTTTTCAGATTCAAGGTGGAAAATACACAGCAGGAAAATTGTGTACTTTCACCCTCAGCTGCCTGCACAACTGTGTCGTAATTACATGAGTCCACAAGTTCAAAGCCTGTTGTCAGAAGCTGGGCATGTCCCTGAGTGCTTGGCATGGTTTAGTCCTGACTAACAGTAAATGAGGGCCAAGTGGCACCCCAAAACAGAGAGAAACTTAGGGTTAGATGTCATCAAAGACCTGACCCAGTGCTCTGTTCTCCTCCACCTCTCTTCAAGTCCTGCTCTTTAGCAGTTTCTAGCGACCCCATGCCAGAAGACCAGATCCTTTAGTTAATCAGGGAAACTTAGCTTTAAGCTGCTGATCACTGACTTGTTATTTACCCTCTGGGTGTAGTCATTCTACAGGCCGGACATGCCAGTTTCTGCTGGCAAAGGTTTTGATCTGTGTTTCCTGAAAGGAAAAGTCACTGACATCAGCAGTTACAGGTTTTGTCCCTTAGTGGAGATCTATCCAGGGGTCCTGAATAATATATAGGTCATTTGATGGGAAGTAAGCTCCATGGCCCTGGGAAGATTTGTCACCTGGAAGAATTTAGCTTGTGGGGCCATTAGTCTACTTCTTTGAATGTTTAAAATCTGAAGTTGAACTCTGGAAGGAATAGTAATAAAAGCTAATGAGGGACTTAGAAAGGTCCTTCTGTTTCTTTACCTGGAATGAAGAAGAAGAAGAAAAAGAAGAGGAGGAAGAGGAGGTAGAAGAAGAGGAGGTAGAGGTAGAGGAAGAGGAGGAAGAGGATGAATAAGAAAAAGAGGAAGAAAAGGAAGGAAAGGAAAAAGAAGAGGAAGGGGAAGAAAAGGAAGAGGAGGAAGAGGAGGAAAAGGAGGAAGAGGAGGAAGAGGAGGAAGAGGAGGAAGAGGAATAATTATTAGAATAATAATAAGAAAAAGAAGCAGTAACAAATAATAATAATTAATAATAATAGAAATTAGAAGAATTAGAAGAAGAAAAAGATAATCATCATCATAATAGTCATAAAGGAGATGAAGGAAAAGAAGAAGGAGGAAGAGGAAGAGGAGGAGGAGGAGGAGGAGGAGGAGGAGGAGGAAAAGAAAGCTTCACCTAGTTTTTCTAATGCTTTAAAAAAGCCAGGTGAATAGAATCATGAAACGTATGTATGATCAGACTTTGAGCAAAGGATGGAGAACCCTGGAAATTAAAAACAGAAAAATAAGGAATATATGACCATGTAAAGCAACACAGTGAAAAATAACAACGGTGAGAAAATTCCAGGTGAAACAACCAAAGACTGTATTGGCTGGAGGGATGGATCAGTAGTTAGAGCACTTGTTGCTCTTACAAAGGACACAGGCTCAGTTTCCAGAACCCACGTTGGGAGGTTCAAGACTGTGACTGCATCTACAGGCAATCAGGAGTCCTCCTCTGACCTCTGCAGGCATCAGGCACACATGAGGTACACAAAAGTACCTGAAAGCATTCATTCATTCAAGCAGGCATATATATATATATGCACATTAAAAAAGAATATATAAGAATTATATAAGAATATATAAGAATATATAAGAATATATAAGAGTAGCATTTGATCTGTTAAACAAATCTTGATAGCTGCACTTGAAGAGCAGAATATATTGTTATACTTTTATGAAAACTATTTTTTAGCTCTTTAAAAAAGAAGAGAAAGAAAAAATACAGGAAAATAAAATACAGAATAAGAAAAGCAAAGATCAGAAATATAATTTGAAGATTTTTTTTTGTCTCATGCATTCCAGGGTTACCTCAGACTTGCTATGTAGCAGAGAATAACTTTGAACTTGTTACTCTCCTGCCTCTACTTCCTGAATGTTGGCATTATAGGCATGCAGAACCGTGCCCAGTTTATGCTGGATGAGGCATGGAACTCTGGGCTTCCTGCATATTGGATGAGAACTACCTACTAAACTACATCCCTAGCACTGAAAATATTTTTTTAAAGACGAAGTTTAATAAAACATAGGTAAACAGAACGTTAGTTTTCTTTATTTTTAAGAAAACCTTGCCATTAGGATGTGACGTCACACATGTAAGATCACTGGTCAAAGGCAAACACGGCAGCCACAGGGACATCTTACAGAGTTGCAGCCAGGCCTCCTACTCTGTCACCTCTGGTGGGTGGGTTTCCTTTTTTTTTTTTTTTTTTTTTCGAGACAGGGTTTCTCTGTGTAGCCTTGGCTGTCCTGGAACTCACTCTGTAGACTAGGCTAGCCTCGAACTCTCGAACTCAGAAATCCGCCTGCCTCTGCCTCCCAAGTGCTGGGATTAAAGATGTGCGTCACCACCGCCCGGCGGTGGATGGGTTTCTTTGAGAACTTCCTTGTTGTGCCTTTGGTAAATATTTTTAGGACTGGAAGCTGTAGGCATTGGTCATTGTCCTGGAAACTACTGGAAGTCACTGGTTTTAGGAAAGGAGAGTTTATTAAGGGATGTTGAAAGGCAAGTGTGTGTGTGTGTGTGTGTGTGTGTGTGTATGTACATGTGGCCATGCTTGTGTTTGAGATAGAGTCTCATGTAGCACACCCAGGTTGTCCTCAAGCCCTTGATGCAGCTGAGGGTTCTCTAGGATGTGTGATCTTCCTGCCTCCACCTTTCTACGTTCTGGTGGTACAGGCTTGGGGATTGAACTCAGGGCTTCATGCCTGTTAATGAGCACACTATTATAAGTGATACACCGCTAGCCCCTTGTGTTGTTAATGTTGATACATGTTACACTTATCCATATATGTTTCACTAATGGTTGTGGCAGTACTTTTGTTTCATAGTTGAGAAGCTGAGGCTAAGAAGGCAACCTGATAGGCTGTGGACAACGCTATAGGTAAGCGACAGAGCATGTTCTGGAAAGAAGGAGCTTGGGAGCCCCAAGCTGGTGATCCAGGCTACGAGGAGGCTTAGGGAACGGGATGTAGACAGGGCTGAGATTGAAGAATTAATCATCTAGGACGAAACTTCTTAGCGGGTTTGTAGGACGGAATGTGGAGCTTGTAAAAGTTTTGACGACAGCAAAAGGTTTTGAATGAGCAATGGTCAATGATTAATTGACATTCAAACGTGCAGTGAATCCAAGGTGTTTCTGGCCAGGATTGCCTGTGCCGAATCACGTGACCTCCTCCCTTGCTGAATCACGTGGCCTCCTCCCTGCCGCCGTGGTTCTAAGCAGACAACGCGAGTAGTTTGCATTGCCTGTACCAATGTGTGCTACCCCGGACCCTCAGCTCAGATTCGAGACCACTGTATGCCATGAATTACTGAGTTTCATAGTACGCACAGATTTCTGCACATCTAGAAGCATAATGGTTTGGTTATAGAAAACAGAGGCTTTCAATAGTTTTCTACCACCCTTAACCTGTACATAAGCATCAACTTAATATATGTTTGGATTGTATCGCTCTAGACAAACAAGTGGGGCCACCGCATTGGTATGCGAATTTGGCTTTATCTATTACAGATGGCAAATTATGTATATGCCAAGGAATTATTTTAAAATAAAATTATGATTTTTTTTTTATAAGCGAGTGTTTGACTTTTAAACTACCTTATCTACTTGCATGCCTGGACTCATGCATACATTTTTCTAGAAAGTCACTGGCTGTAGAAGAATTTTCCAGAAGCCCTGATCTAGGAAGCATTTTGAGGTCATGCTCAACTATGCAAGCATGCGCAGTTTGCAAAGGCCTGGTAAGGTTGCTTCACAAGATAAAAGCTTATACCGTCCTTGAAAGTGGGGGTCGGGCCATGATGGAACAGACATGTTTATGATATTAAAGAGAGCAATCAGTGCCTGCTGCTCCACCTGTGGACCCAGAGC